TTTTCCTCATATCGCAGCTCCTTGTCCTCATATCCCAGCTCCTTGTCCTCATATCCCAACTCCTTGTCTTCATATCCCAGCTCCTTGTCCTCATATCCCAGCTCCTTGTCTTCATATCCCAGCTCCTTGTCCTCATATCCCAGCTCCTTGTCCTCATATCCCAGCTCCTTGTCCTCATATCCCAGCTCCTTGTCCTCATATCCTAGCTCCTTGTCCTCATATCCCAGCTCCTTGTCCTCATATCCCAGCTCCTTGTCCTCATATCCTAGCTCCTTGTCCTCATATCCCAGCTCCTTGTCCTCATATCCCAGCTCCTTGTCCTCATATCCCAGCTCCTTGTCCTCATATCCTAGCTCCTTGTCCTCATATCCCAGCTCCTTGTCCTCATATCCCAGCTCCTTGTCCTCATATCCCAGCTCCTTGTTCTCATATCCCAACTCTTCGTCTGTCTTATATCCCTTCCAAGTTCTTCTGACTTGATATTGACAGCACTTTCTCCTGATAGTTTCCTTCCCTTCGCAAACACACAACTAGAATAAAATAAAGATAAGACAGTAGTCACTGAATGAGGCAATTGACAACTGGGAGAACCGGGTCCAGGAGCCGCAGCCAGATCCCGTAAGCACAAATAGACGAGCACAAAAAAAGGCGAGTTTATATATATTTCACTTAAGTGTTGTGCCAAGTGTATTCTGGTGTAGTACCAAGTGTGCTACAAATCGTATATGTAGTGATCATGTCTCCCCTAATTTTGTATCTGCCAGTGACGTGAGGTTTAATTCCTTGAATCATTCCTCCTAACTCATGCCTCTCAGCTCAGAGAGTGAGGGTCTGAGGCGTGAGTAACTCCCAGAGGCAAGCGGTCGGGAGAGGTATGGACAAGTTTCTGTTAAGAGTTACGTGATCCGTCAGGCTGTGATGGGAGGTCTGTGGGGATCGCAGACAAACAGCCTCACAATTTAGGGGGAAGAACAGCCATCGAAATCGTTAACACAGAATCAACAGGTCAGCAGGAAGGTTGGAAGCTCTGGCTGTGATTGGCTGTGTGAGTTGGAAGCTCTGGCTGTGATTGGTTGTGTGAGTTGGAAGCTCTGGCTGTGATTGGCTGTGTGAGTTGGAAGCTCTGGCTGTGATTGGTTGTGTGAGTTGGAAGCTCTGGCTGTGATTGGCTGTGTGAGTTGGAAGCTCTGGCTGTGATTGGTTGTGAGAGTTGGAAGCTCTGGCTGTGTGAGTTGGACGCTCTGGCTGTGATTGGTTGCGAGAGTTAGAAGCTCTGACTGTGATTGGTTGTGAGAGTTGGAAGCTCTGGCTGTGATTGGCTGTGTGAGTTGGAAGCTCTGGCTGTGATTGGCTGTGTGAGTTGGACGCTCTGGCTGTGATTGGCTGTGTGAGTTGGACGCTCTGGCTGTGATTGGCTGTGTGAGTTGGAAGCTCTGGCTGTGATTGGCTGTGTGAGTTGGACGCTCTGACTGTGATTGGCTGTGTGAGTTGGACGCTCTGGCTGTGATTGGCTGTGTGAGTTGGAAGCTCTGACTGAGATTGGCTGTGTGAGTTGGAAGCGCTGGCTGTGATTGGCTGTGTGAGTTGGAAGCTCTGACTGTGATTGGTTGTGAAAGTTGGAAGCTCTTGCAGTAAGAGGAAAGGTGGAAGGTCTTCCATCTTCCACCACTTGCCCTGCAAGTGGCCAGCTTTTCAGCCCTTGTCTTACCAACTTTGTACATGCAAATAATGATATCAGTTTTGATATTGGCTACAGCATAAACGGTGTATGATATCAACTCCTTTCCAAACCCTCCCCCCCACACAAAGTTTCTTTTTCTCCATCCGGCTCCATTAAATTTTCCTCTTCCAATTTGGCACTTTGTATCAGGGCTCCTGTTGCCAGCTCCGGCACTATTAATTTGCAGTTGCTAGAGTTGAACTCAATTAGCCACTTGTTTTTATATATTTTTCAGCTTGTGTTAGAGTGTTTTGACTATGCAAGGACGCACTTGAGAGTACCAATAAGTGCTGGAAGGGGAGGGGGGAAGGAGGGAGAGAGTGGGAGGGAGAGGGAGAGAGGGAGGGAGGGGGGGGGGCGTGCGGGTTTGAGAAGAGGAGTGCCCCCCCCCCCCACTCTTACCTGAACCCTTCTCAGCTTGCCCTGACCACCCAGCTCTTGCTCTTACTGGAACTCTTCTTGCATCCGTTTCCAGTAAGAGCGAGAGGGAAGGGGGAGGGGGGGGTACAGTGAGAGGGGGAAGGTAAGAGCCAGAGAGGGGAGGGGAGGGGGAGGGGGAAAGGTAAGAGCTAGAGAGGGGTGGGAAGGAGAAGGTAAGAGCCAGGGAGGGGAGGGGAGGGAAGGGAGGGGAGGGGTGGAAGGTAAGGGCAAGAGAGGCTGGACTGTTGACACCATTACTTCCCTAATTAGCGAGTAAACATGAAACTCAACCTAAGCTCCCCACCCTCAGATTACCTCCTCTCCTTCCCTGCTCCCCTCACCTCCCCTCTCACACCCCTCCCTCCCTCCCTCTTCCTCGGCCCTACTCCTGTTCCATCCTTCTCATATATTGACTTCCGGCCCTCGTCCACTGTCCTTACCTCGGGCGAATAATGCTAATTAATTTATCTGGAAGGGATATGAGGGTAAGGCGCTGGGATATGAGGGTAAGGTGCTGGGATATGAGGGTAAGGTGCTGGGATATGAGGGTAAGGTGCTGGGATATGAGGGTAAGGTGCTGGGATATGAGGGTAAGGTGCTGGGTTATGAGGGTAAGGCGCTGGGATATGAGGGTAAGGCGCTGGGATATGAGGGTAAGGCGCTGGGATATGAGGGTAAGGCGCTGGGATATGAGGGTAAGGCGCTGGGATATGAGGGTAAGGTGCTGGGTTATGAGGGTAAGGCGCTGGGATATGAGGGTAAGGCGCTGGGATATGAGGGTAAGGCGCTGGGATATGAGGGTAAGGCGCTGGGATATGAGGGTAAGGCGCAGGGATATGAGGGTAAGGCGCTGGGATATGAGGGTAAGGCGCTGGGATATGAGGGTAAGGCGCTGGGATATGAGGGTAAGGTGCTGGGATATGAGGGTAAGGTGCTGGGATATGAGGGTAAGGTGCTGGGTTATGAGGGTAAGGCGCTGGGATATGAGGGTAAGGCGCTGGGATATGAGGGTAAGGCGCTGGGATATGAGGGTAAGGCGCTGGGATATGAGGGTAAGGTGCTGGGATATGAGGGTAAGGTGCTGGGATATGAGGGTAAGGTGCTGGGATATGAGGGTAAGGTGCTGGGATATGAGGGTAAGGTGCTGGGTTATGAGGGTAAGGCGCTGGGATATGAGGGTAAGGCGCTGGGATATGAGGGTAAGGCGCTGGGATATGAGGGTAAGGCGCAGGGATATGAGGGTAAGGCGCTGGGATATGAGGGTAAGGCGCTGGGATATGAGGGTAAGGTGCTGGGATATGAGAACAAGGACCATTTGAGACTGTAAGAGTAAGTAGGAGTAAGGGGAGACGTGATCACTACCTACAAAATTCTCAGAGGAATTGACAGGGGTAGATAAAGATAAACTGTTTAACACGGGTGGTATGCGAACAAGGGGACACAGGTGGAAACTGGGTACGCAAATGAGCCACAGGGACGTTAAAAGGCACTTTTTCAGGTGTCAGAGTAGTTAACGGATGGAATGCATTAGGCAGTGATGTGGTGGAGGCTGACTCCATACACAGTTTCGAGTGTAGATATGATAGAGCCCAGTAGGCTCAGGAACCTGTACATCAGTCGATTGACAGTTGAGAGGCGGGACCAAAGAGCTAGAGCTCAACCCCCGCAAGCACAATTAGGTGAGTACAATTAGGTGATACTGTTTATGGAGTCAGCCTCCGCCACATCACTGCCTAATGCATTCCATCTGTTAACTACTCTGACACTGAAAAAGTTCCTTTTAACGTCCCTGTGGCTCATGTGGGTACCCAGTTTCCACCTGTGTCCCCTTGTTCGCATACCACTCGTGTTAAACAGTTTGTCTTTATCTATCCCTGTCAATTCCTCTGAAAATTTTGGAGGTAGTGATCATGTCTCCCCTTACTCTTACGTCTTACTTACTTACTCTTACTCTTACAGATGGAATGCCTAATGCATTCCATCTGTTAACTACTCTGACACTGAACAAATCTTTACAAATGTCCCTGTGGCATATTTGGTTACTAAGTTTAAGTACTAAGTCTCCGTGGCTCATTTGGGTACTAAGCCAAGAGCCAACAGCTCGAGCCTGCAGGTACAAGTAGGTGAACAGAAATAGGTGAGATACAAAGACTAACGTGCGCGCGCACAAGGAAGTCGAGCCAGACAAAGAAGTTACCGGTATGAGACAAGTCATGGTCTTACCCGAGGGGCAACAAGCCAAAGCGACGCAAATCCTTTAAATTAAATTTTGCCCCGAGGGGCGAGTTTATTGGGCAGCGCCACTCATCCTGTGAGTGGACACACCGCCATAGTGACAGTATTGGGCAGCGCCACTCATCCTGTGAGTGGACGCACCGCCATAGTGACAGTATTGGGCAGCGCCACTCATCCTGTGAGTGGACACACCGCCATAGTGACAGTATTGGGCAGCGCCACTCATCTTGTGAGTGGACACACCGCCATAGTGACAGTATTGGGCAGCGCCACTCATCCTGTGAGTGGACACACCGCCATAGCAGCATGTACAACACTCCCCAATAGGAAGAAAACCCGCTGGCTTGTTCATCCTGTCACTTGTACCCAGACACAACTGGGACGTGCTTGTTAGCCACGAGAAGTAAACCAGAAACAACCCCAAGCCACTAGAGGCAATTATTTCACCAGGAACAATCCACTAGGAACAAGCCACCGGGAACAAGCGACCGGGAACAAGCCACTAGGAACAAGTCACCGGGAACAAACCACCAGGAACAAGCCACCGGGAACTAGCCACCGGGAACAAGCCACCGGAAACAAGCCACCGGGAACAAACCACCGGGAACAAGCCACCGGGAACTAGCCACCGGGAACAAGTCCCCGGGAACAAGCCACCGGGAACAAGCCACCGGGAACTAGCCACCGGGAAAAAGTCCCCGGGAACAAGCCACCGGGAACAAGTCCCCGGGAACTAGCCACCGGGAACAAGTCCCCGGGAACAAGCCACCGGGAACAAGCCACCGGGAACAAGCCACCGGGAACAAACCAACGGAAACAAGCCACCGGGAACAAACCACCGGGAACAAGCCACCGGGAACAAGTCACCGAGAACAAGCCACCGGGAACAAGCCACCGGGAACAAGCCACCGGGAACAAGCCACCGGGAACAAGCCACCGGGAACAAGCCACCGGGAACAAGTCCCCGGGAACAAGCCACCGGGAACAAGCCACCGGGAACAAACCAACGGAAACAAGCCACCGGGAACAAGCCACCGGGAACAAGTCCCCGGGAACAAACCACCGGGAACAAACCACCGGGAACAAGTCACCGGGAACAAGTCACCGGGAACAAGCCACCGGGAACAAGCCACCGGGAACAAGCCACCGGGAACAAGCCACCGGGAACAAACCACCGGGAACAAGCCACCGGGAACAAGCCACCGGGAACAAACCAACGGAAACAAGCCACCGGGAACAAACCACCGAGAACAAGCCACCGGGAACAAGCCACCGAGAACAAGCCACCGGGAACAAGCCACCGGGAACAAGCCACCGGGAACAAGCCACCGGGAACAAGTCCCCGGGAACAAGCCACCGGGAACAAGCCACCGGGAACAAACCAACGGAAACAAGCCACCGGGAACAAACCACCGGGAACAAGCCACCGGGAACAAACCACCGGGAACAAACCACCGGGAACAAGCCACCGGGAACAAACCAACGGAAACAAGCCACCGGGAACAAACCACCGAGAACAAGCCACCGGGAACAAGCCACCGAGAACAAGCCACCGGGAACAAGCCACCGGGAACAAGTCCCCGGGAACAAGCCACCGGGAACAAGCCACCGGGAACAAACCAACGGAAACAAGCCACCGGGAACAAACCACCGGGAACAAGCCACCGGGAACAAGTCCCCGGGAACAAGCTAGAAGGTAGATTTTCTACCACAAACCTACAGTAAGGTAAATTTTCTACCACAAACCTACAGTAAGGTAGATTTCCTACCACAACCCTACAGTAAAGTAGATTTTCTACCACAACCCTACAGTAAAGTAGATTTTCTACCACAACCCTACAGTAAAGTAGATTTTCTACCACAACCCTACAGTAAAGTAGATTTCCAACCACAAACCTACAGTGAGGTAGATTAAAGTCAACCAAAAACCTACAGTACGCAAATTAGAATTCGCTTGACCTCAGCTCTTTATTATACACGGACAGTATATATCCTACTGGGAAGGGATACGTCGATAAAGGAGCTGGGATATCAGGACAAGGAGAAGGGATAGGACGACAAATTGCTGGGATATTAGGACAAGGAGCTAGGATATGTGAAGAGAGGAAGGTTGAAGGGTGAAGGAACGGTGTCTAACCACTTGCATCATCGGGGAAGCAAGCTATCAAAGGGACACCGGATCCGGAACACATGGCCCGCAAGGTCGCTGAGATGTAAACACCGTCGCTGGTCTGTTGACTACCGGCAGATCCCTGCCACGAGCGTCTTAAGTAAACTGTGAGCCATGCTGATACCCTGGCTGGTAACGTGCGTGCGTGTGTGTACTCACCTATATGTACTCACCTATATGTGCTTGCAGGATCGAGCATTGACTCTTGGATCCCGCCTTTCTAGCTATCGGTTGTTTACAGCAATGACTCCTGTCCCATTTCCCTATCATACCTAGTTTTAAAAGTATGAATAGTATTTGCTTCCACAACCTGTTCCCCAAGTGCATTCCATTTTTCTACTACTCTCACGCTAAAAGAAAACTTCCTAACATCTCTGTGACTCATCTGAGTTTCCAGTTTCCACCCATGTCCCCTCGTTCTGTTATTATTACGTGTGAACATTTGATCTATTTCCACTTTGTCAATTCCCCTGAGTATTTTATATGTCCCTATCATATCTCCTCTCTCCCTTCTTTTCTCTAGTGTCGTAAGATTCAGTTCCTTCAGCCGCTCTTCATATCCCATCCCTCGTAGCTCTGGGACAAGCCTCGTCGCAAACCTCTGAACCTTCTCCAGTTTCTTTATGTGTTTCTTCAGGTGGGGGCTCCATGATGGCGCGGCATACTCTAAGACGGGTCTCACGTAGGCAGTGTAAAGCGCCCTAAAAGCTTCCTCATTTAGGTTTCTGAATGAAGTTCTAATTTTCGCCAGTGTAGAGTACGCTGCTGTCGTTATCCTATTTATATGTGCCTCAGGAGTTAGATTAGGTGTCACATCCACTCCCAGGTCTCTTTCTCGAATCGTTACAGGTAGGCTGTTCCCCTTCATTGTGTACTGTCCCTTTGGTCTCCTGTCACCTGATCCCATTTCCATAACTTTACATTTACTGGTGTTAAACTCCAGTAGCCATTTCTCTGACCATCTCTGCAGCCTGTTTAAGTCCTCTTGGAGGATCCTACAATCCTCGTCTGTCACAACTCTTCTCATTAATTTTGCGTCATCTGCAAACATTGACATGTATGACTCCACTCCTGTAAACATATCATTTACGTAAATTAGAAAGAGGATTGGTCCCAGCACCGATCCTTGAGGTACTCCACTTGTTACTGTTCGCCAGTCCGACTTTTCGCCCCTTACCATTACCCTCTGGCTCCTTCCTGTTAGGTAGTTCTTCACCCATACTAGGGCCTTTCCGCTTACTCCTGCCTGCCTCTCAAGTTTGTATAGCAGTCTCATGTGCGGTACCGTATCAAAGGCCTTTTGGCAGTCAAGAAATATGCAGTCTGCCCAGCCTTCTCTGTCCTGCCTTATCCTTGTTACTTTATCATAGAATTCTAAAAGGTTTGTTAGGCATGATTTCCCTGTCCAGAACCCATGTTGGTGCTTGTTTACAAACCCAATGCTCTCCAGGTGCTCAACAAGTCTTAGCCTAATTATTCTTTCAAGTATTTTGCAGGGGATGCTTGTCAGTGATACGGGTCTGTAGTTAAGTGCCTCCTCCCTATCCCCCTTTTTGAAAATCGGTACGACATTTGCCTCCTTCCAGCAACTGGGCAATTCTCCCGACATAAGTGACTCATTGAAGATCATTGCCAGAGGCACGCTGAGAGCCTGCGCTGCCTCTTTAAGTATCCACGGTGATACTTTGTCTGGTCCAACAGCTTTATTTGCATCCAGTGTTGTCAACTGTTTCATTACATCCTCTGCTGTCACCTCTATATCTGATAGTCTTTCATCTTGGGTAATCTCTTCTAACAATGGGAGCTGCTCAGGCTCGGTAGTGAACACTCCATGGAATTTTGCATTCAGTACCTCGCAGATTTCCTTGTCGCTTTCTGTATATGCCCCTTCTGTTTTCCTCAGTCTTGTCACTTGGTCATTTACCGACATCTTCCTTCTTATATGGCTATGTAGTAATTTTGGTTGCTTTTTCGCTTTGACTGCAATATCGTTCTCATAATTTCTTTCCGACACTCGTCTTATGTTAATGTAATCATTCCTAGCTCTGTTACATCTAATCCTGTTGTCCTCTGTCCTTTGTCTTCTGTACTTCCTCCACTCCCTCCTGCTTCTCACCTTTGCTTCCTGACACTGTCTATTAAACCATGGGTTATTATATTCCCTCCTGCTTTTTTCCTTTATTGTTGGAATAAATCTATCTTCAGCCTCCTTGCATTTCAATATGACTTGGTTCATCATACCTTGCACTGTTTTTCCTCTAAGTTCTTCCTCCCACTGCACTTCTCCCAGGTAGTCCCTTATCCTTCTGTAGTCCCCTTTTCTGTAATCAAGTCTCCTTTCCCGGACCTCTTGTCCTTTCGTCACAATTTTAAGCTCCATCATGTAGTCAAAGGCTAGGACACAATGGTCACTAGCTCCTAGTGGTATTTCATGTTCCAACTGCTCGATGTCTTCTACATTCTGAGTGATAATGAGATCTAATAGGCTGGGCGTATCCCCTCCTCTTTCCCTAGTATCTTCTTTCACATGCTTTCACATGCTTTTCACATGTTGTGTGTGTGTGTGTGTGTGTGTGTACTCACCTAGTTGTACTCACCTAGTTGTGTTTGCGGGGGTTGAGCTCTGGCTCTTTGGTCCCGCCTCTCAACCGTCAATCAACAGGTGTACAGATTCCTGAGCCTATCGGGCTGTGTGTGTGTGTGTGTGTGTGTGTGTGTGTGTGTGTGTGTGTGTGTGTGTGTGTGTGTGTGTGTGTGTGTGTGTGTGTGTGTGTGTGTGTGTGTTAATTAAGAAAGATATATATAAGAAGAGAGGCCATAAGAGGGGAGTCTCAGAGCTGGCGTTAAGAGTGTTGGATCTAGATTAGTCCCTCTTAACTCTCTCTGGCTGGGTCACAGAATATGAGTAAGAGGGAATGGCACCGAAGGTGAATAATGAGGAGTGGTATGAGTAAGAGGGTAGATGAGAGGACCTGAGTGCCTGCTGGGTGAAGCGGGAGGGCCAGGCCCTTTGATCTCTTCGTGAGGGTCGACTTGGAGGCCTGGTGAGCGAGGGCTTGGAGGGATGCCGGGTGAGTGAGGGCTTGGAGGGATGCCAGGTGAGTGAGGGCTTGGAGGGATGACAGGTGAGTGAGGGCTTGGATTGATGCCAGGTGAGTGAGGGCTTGGAGGGATGCCTGGTGAGTGAGGGTTTGGAGGGATGACAGGTGAGTGAGGGTTTGGAGGGATGACAGGTGAGTAAGGGGTTTGGAGGGATGCCAGGTGAGTGAGGGCTTGGAGGGATGCCGGGTGAGTGAGGGCTTGGAGGGATGCCAGGTGAGTGAGGGCTTGGAGGGATGCCAGGTGAGTGAGGGGCTTGGAGGGATGCCAGGTGAGTGAGGGCTTGGAGGGATGACAGGTGAGTGAGGGCTTGGAGGGATGCCAGGTGAGTGAGGGCTTGGAGGGATGCCAGGTGAGTGAGGGCTTGGAGGGATGCCAGGTGAGTGAGGGCTTGGAGGGATGCCGGGTGAGTGAGGGCTTGGAGGGATGCCAGGTGAGTGAGGGCTTGGAGGGATGCCAAGTGAGTGAGGGCTTGGAGGGATGACAGGTGAGTGAGGGCTTGGAGGGATGCCGGGTGAGTGAGGGCTTGGAGGGATGACAGGTGAGTGAGGGGCTTGGAGGGATGCCTTGAAGGCATACTGCCTGGTAAGTGGGGGGAGTTCAAATGCCGAAAATCGGGGTCCAAGAGCTAGACTCCAATTTTGTCTTAGGTAATTGCGGCATTGAGCTTCTGTGTATATAATAAGCATAATTACCAGGCGACCTATATGTTAGGGATGTTAATGTTGATGAAGTACCATATTCACTCACTCACTCACTCACTCACTCACTCACTCACTCACTCACTCACTCACTCACTCACTCACTCACTCACTCACTCACTCACTCACTCTCTCTGTTCCTTTCTTTCTCTGTCTGGTACACTCGCTATGCAAACCTATATTATTCTCTCCTATATTATTCTATATTATTGGAGAGTATTCTAATACACTCCTTATATTATTCTCTCATTTTCTCACTAACTTTCTCTCACTAACACTCTCTCTCTCTCACTCCCTGAATCTGGCATATGACGGGGGGAAGGAATAGTGTTCAACCAGTTGGACCATCGGGAATCGAACGCTGACCTGCAAGTAGCGAGACCGTCGAAATACCGACCAGTCCAAATGGTGGAATACACAGGTATTCACTTCCTTTCTTTCTCACTTCCCCATCCCCCCCCCCACATGCCTCCCTCCCTCCTTAAGTGCGTAACTACGCAGTTGACTCTCTTTCCACACACACACACACACACACACACACACACACACACACACATACACACACACACACACACACACACACACACACACACACACACACACACACACACACACAGGGAAGAGCGTCTGAAAGGACTGAACCTTACGATACTAGAGAAAAGAAGGGAGAGAGGAGATATGATAGGGACATATGAAATACTTAGGGGAATTGACAAAGTGGAA